ATCAGAGCTGACTGCTTGAGCACACTGCTGGTATTTGCTGAACTATGTAAAGACAAACAGTACTGCAATTCTATTATTTTTTTTTTTACAAAATAATGCTAAAACACTTTCTCCTGGTAGTAAACCAGCCCCAAAGTCTGCATATACTCATGGATTCACTTTAGCCTTTATCTGAACCATAGCTGCTAACTTAGTTCTAGAAAACACAGACTCAAGGCTTTCATTCTAAGCATCTGAGAAAGCCAAATGAACAGCCTTAAAGGCATAGAATTAAGTTAAACAAATATGCCTAGGCAGGTCACACCATTTTGGGGAATGAAAACCACAGGTCAGGCGTGCAGGGAAGCACAGCACCAGTGATGCATGTTCACATCCAGACCTTGAGTGTGGTGGGAGCAGCACAGGGGGAAAACTGCCCCGTCCTTCTTTCAAGATCATCCCCTCTACAGTGAAGGAGTGACAGTCAGAGCTTGTGAGCCCCTCAGGCCAAGGAAAAGGCACCCAACAGCTCAGCTGTCTGTGGGCTGTGCAGAGACAGGTCTGCAAGAGGCTGCTCTGCTGCTGTGACCACTCAGGATGGGGCTCAGTGACTCTGGGCTCTTTCTACTTCCAGCTCGGTATGGATTTGAAATACAACAGCCTAGAGGGGAGCAGAACAGACTGTGCTCCGTAGATGGAATTGAATTGTTTTAAAGTTTTTAAACAAGTTGGCTGTTTTCCTGGGCTGAAATTAAAGGATAATTAAGTCACTTTCAGTCTGGAAAGAGCTCATAGGTATTTCCTGGTTTGACTCTTCAAACTTTTGCCAGAGTGATTAGTGCAATGAAAAATTGTCAGCTCTCAAGGCAGGGCTGTCAGCCAATGCTCAAAGCATTTATCCAAGCGCAGACTCTTTTGGCCTGTGGACAGGAGGAAATGGGACAAAATGAGGGTGTAGGAAATGAGTAGCTGGGCATAAAGGACACTGGCACAGCAGACCCTGTACCTTAGTCCTGATATTAAAGACTACTGGTGCTACAGGTTTAGGGGAGAGTTAACTCTTGTGGGGGAGAAAAACCTGGCTAAAGATCAGTCCCAGCTCATGGGTACCTGTCAGTGATGTTACTTATAAGCAGATAATATCTGTGCAGCAGGTGCAGTGCTGTCAGCAGGGAGGGTGCACACTCCCCTGGTACTGCTGCACTGGGGACACAACCCTCCCTTCATTCTGGGGCTCAACAACATCCTGGTAATGTTGCTGATAACATGTGAGAGCTCCAGGCTTTCCCAGTTACTAGAAATGCCCACAGCCTCCCTCCCTTTCATTTCCACGCTTCTTCCTAACATTTAAAAGCTCAGATCTATTTTGTTTCTTCCGGGATTGCTAACCAAAGCTGACTCCTGAATGAATTCTGTCTCTGCTCTGGTTAGTCATCCCTCCAGGACAGATTTAGTAACTGCTCAGGGAAACCACGTCGAAGCCAACAGTTCACCATTGGAAGGCAGCACCCACTCACTGTCAGCCTCATCTTTTTCTGAGCTAGAAAGCTCAAAGTGCAGCAAGTCAGCCAGAATTAGGAGTGAGCCTCTAGCCTCACCTGTTGTGTAGGAAGGTGGATAAATTGCTATGCACCTAGTCTCGGACCTGACTGCAGGCTCAGGGGAAGATGCTGCAGAGACAGCAAGGATCTACAGCAGAGTTCCCTGTCCCCATCTGCCAGAGCACCCTGTGGGGCAGACACCCCTCCTGGGCAACTGGAGCTCTGGGCAGGGGCTGCCCATGCTCCTCACTGTGGGGAACTGCCTGAGCACCACTGTGTGTCCTTCTGAGCCCCCACAGAGCTGGCAGCACACAGACCTGCTCCTCAACTCCAGCAATCTCACCCTGAGCTGCAGAATTAGTAACCCTTTAAGGCTAAAGAATTGCCTGTCCAGAAATGTGTATCTGACATGTTTACTGCCTGTGTTCCTGAAAGCTCCTCCAGAATGTTGTGTAACACTGGCTGACTAGAGGCACCTCGTGTTAAAACCTGTTCTGATATGCAATAAGGCACCAAAGGATTTTAATGCATAAATAGGAGTCATGACACTGATGCTTTCAGGTAGGGACAGTTTATTTGCCCCTTTGAACAAGTAAGGCAAGATATTTGAGAAAGATCAACCAAAATCTCCTGTATCAAACTCAAGAGGAATGCAATAAAAGTTACTATTTCATACATATACAAACTAAAGACCCAACACTATTATATACAAACAGCCAGATCTTACAAAATAGCATTTCAAGTCAGCAGTTTATGCCAGTGTCGCTAGTTTCTTTGTTACAAAAAACATTAAAGCTACAAACTTCACATTTGTAAGTCTCACATGACTGACATCATCAGTATCTCTGGGTTTGAGAAACAAAGAGAATGGTTTGTCCAGAACCCTTTCAGCAATGCAGATGGACCCAAGGAGCACACGAATGCAGCTTCACAATTAAGTGTTTTGCTTAAAACCTTTGTCAGAACAGCTTTCCCTTATGGTACCATCCTTGGTCTTTGCCTGGAGGCCTTCGAGATGTGAACAGGTACTGTGCTCCCAGACATTCTACAAAGGGATCAGAAAGGGAATTATTTTCTCTAACAGACTGAAAATCAGTGAAGGAGAAAATAATTCCTCTGCATTACAGCTCTAAGTGCAAGAAACATCATTAAGTCTCAGCCACTGCAAGCGTTTAAGAAAGGTTCGAAGACAGTTAAGCCATTGGACCAGTTTTACTTATTTTGGTTCATTTGCTATATTTTAAGACAATCACGTCAGCAAAGCAGAGTATTTCAAGAGTGCTTACATTCAGTTACAGCAGTCACAGGTTGCATATTCTGTAAATAGACACCACTCCGTGGTGTTTCACCTAACACTTGGGGTTTCTAATGCCCTCTGAAAACTACAAAGTCACCTACACAGTGCAGAGGTAAAACTACTCCCAGCAGAACTTGCTTGATCCATGCCACATGCAGGCAGTGCACAATTTACCATGCCACATATCTGTGTGTCTGTCACACCAGAGGTGCTGGGCCAGATCCATCCAAGTGACTAATACAAGATCCTACACTGACCAGAGAACTCCCTCCTAAGCTGAGGGAGTTTCTTTGATGCAAAGAATGCTCATGGGTATTGCTCATAATAAAGACATGTTTAGGGCACAGTGTATTGCACAGATTCCAGACAAGCATGGTATGAGCCCTGATGTTTCCCAACACCTGAGTTATCCAAATAACCAAACTGCTGGTTATCCTAGGATGTACTCTTCCTTCAGCACCCCAGATACACTGCTTACTGCCTCCCTTTTGCTTAGGGACAGCATGCTGATCTCTGAAACAGCTCTGCTCCCACTGCATAGCAAACTGAGACAAACCAATGCAACCAGATCTGCAGAGGGTAAGAATGGCTTGGTTCCTTTCACAGCTATGGAGCAGTAACCAAGAATCTGCTCCAAGGGGGAAACAAGACCCTACAGAGGTATGAAATGAACACTTCACCTCTCTAGCAGCATTTGATACAGGAGACACTGCTGTTCAGTTTAATTCTCTAGGTGATATACCAAGGCCAATTTCAGAAGTACAAGGTGGAAACTGTTCCCTCTCTCAGAGCAAAACGAAAATAAATTGACAGAGACACTTGCTCTGTCCAAACATTCCATCCTATGCTATGAACACCTAAAACTACATACCTCTGCTGTTACAGCCCATCTGCCATGCAAACAGGCTCTGCTCCTTCTGTGTGACTCTCCAGTCTCTGGTGTGAGCTGATTGCACTGTCCTCACAGCGATTGTACACGCCATTGTACATTGTCATTGATTGAGCTATACTGGCCAGGAATGTCAGGGAAATGAGAAAAAAACCAACCAAACCAACACTAGAGCATCCAGAGGAACTGGGAGAGATTGAACCTCTTCCAGCAGGACATTGGTAATTGTCTTCTCACCCACCACAAATGCCCATCTTTGTTAATTCAACAGTCTTTGCTTTCAGTTCGACTCTCCTGATGTGCTAAACCTTGCAGAAATGTGAAGGATTGTGAAATCAAACTTTTATTCAAGCATCTAAAGATGTAAATTTGAAATGAAGCCTATAAAATATTTCACAAGCTGTGGAGATTTTTAAGTCCTCTCAGACACAGCCGAAGTACCTAATTCCTGAGAGAGGTTCACACAACTTCCACCCATTTGAATGCTGTTTCCTTTTCACAGCACTCCATTGTCAGCAGGGTCTCCCTGAAGGACATTTCCACACAGACAGACAAAGGGGAATCAGATCACTGATTGGCTTTTGGTTTGAAGTCGGTGTGGATTTTAAATTACAGAACGTGATTTCTGATGGAGGCACAACAAGCTTTATCAACTCGTATAAATTCAGAAAATACACCAAAACAGGACAAAACTGAGGTCTTGAAGAAACCACACTTGCTTAAAGCACACAGTGTAAGGCATGGGGCTTGTTACAGGCTTTTTAAAAACTGAGATCTGTTTCTTTCAAAAGGCTGGAACAGTTTGTACATGTTCTCACCTGCTCTCTTCAGTGACCTAAAACTTATCAGTACCTTAACAGTAGAGACAGTTAACAGCTTGGAATTGAGTCTGTGCATTCACAAAGGAAAACAAAAACCTCACAAAGGATGCAGCTGTTTACCACAATCCGTATTAACTTAAACCAACACGGACTCCTGAAAGTTCAGATGAAAAGAGAGTGAGCCAACTTTCATTAGCCTATTTCTATCTGTTCCTCTGGTTTAAAAACAATCCTCCTAAAAACAGTAACAAAACTCCTTCAGAATGATGTTTTAAACGTATGTCTAACATTAAAACATACCATCAGGATTTTCCACGTCATGG